GAGTTCTGACAGAGGCCCCAGATTCAAGTCTCAGCTCCCACATGGCAGCTAACAACTGTCTATAACTCCAAGACCTGACACTCTCACACCAGCTTACATGCAGGCAAAATACCAACGCACATAAAATAAAAATAGATAAACTATTTAAAAGAAAGTTGCCATGGTGCAAAGAGCAGCAATTCTAGTCACTAGAATCCCAACATAAACAGGGTATGCTAAATCCTTCCAAATTCTAGCTTTAAATAATGTCTAAAATAAACAGACACACAATGATTTGATTTCTGCTTCATATCAATAATGGTAAATAATTGCCTTTATCATGTAGGCAAAAATGAGGGCAGTGTGATTTAAGTCTAACTTCTAAACAGTATTAGAATTATAGATAGGTGATTTTACATATAATTATCAGTGTTTTATATTCACTTACAGTATTCTATATACATCAGATAATCTGATATTGAGATTTCCCCCCTCGATTTTCTGTTCTTTCTTTATATTTACTTGTATATCCAGCCAAGGATAGTGCCTAAAACTTCAAAAAATTGACATATTTAAGGTACTCTACTCTTCTTTGACTTTATTACATCTTTTAAATTCAGCTTGCTTGTGTCATTCTTTATCTACTCCATTTAGATTTCCACAATAACTTCAGAGATTATTTATGATGATGCTCTCCCCAAATAATTTACTTGTGTTCATAATTTACCTTGAAAACACAAAAGTGATGCAACATTTTCCTTTCTTCTCAACTTGTTCCATTCCTTCAACTCCACCTTCAATGCAGGTTTGTATTCAAAGTACATCATCTTGTTGCCCACAATCTACCAGAATGCTCTTAAAGAAACGTCTACCTTTTAGTGCCTCTCCAAGAAATGACTCTTGGACTCTTACAATAACTGAACAGGTTGAAGGCTTCTCTGCACTCTATTAGTAGTCGTTCGTCAGCATCTCCGTCTAGATAGTTCCAGATAGTGGGCTACTGAACCACAAAACAACCTGTACAGCTCCCACGTTGCCAGTGGTGTGCAAAGAATACTGTATTTTAAAATGAAAATTTAGCAAGTATTTTTCAGGTGTTCTAATTTGGAAAGCATGGATATCACTTCCAGATAATCTAATGTATACTGTTGTTACATGGTAATAGAATGAATCTCTTTCCCTTCTGGCTGAAAGAGCTAGGTTTTACTTTAGATTTTGAAGACTAAGCTAAATACATGTGTAAATTAAATAAGAATACCAATAGGTAATCTCAAGATAATGAAAAATAGAACATTATGACTTTATTGAAGAAATGAGCGCACAAAGAACGTGTGTGCACATATCTAAGAAAGACTATCTTATAACTGCCAAGGAGGATATGAGCAGAATCAAGGGATAAAGCTTTTGGAAACCTCATCTTAATTCCCTACTATTACAAAGTAGTAAAAGGCATTCTAGCCAATGCTAACTATGTTACTCAAGATAGTACTTTAGTGTTAATAACAAATCATTTCTGAATTAAGTATAGCTTTATATTTTGTCTTATACTATAATGATTCATACTCTTTAAAAGTTGTAGAGGCTGACATAATTAATAATTTAATTTAAGGAGATTATTAAAAGGCCCATATCCCAGTAAGCTTTGAAACTGCTAATTGGGATAATAGGAAATTACTTGTCTTTTCCCAAATGCCAGTGAAGTAGGTCAGGATAATTAATATGCATGCTGACTTTTCAGTCAAAGGAAAACAAGACATATCTCATCTCATCTGTGTACTTTTAGGGCCATCTAGTTCAGACTAAAAGGAGCTCAGCCTGAGAAAATTGTCACAGTATGACTCAGTTAAATAACTGAATTTCAAAATCAGACAAAAGGTAGTTCAGCCATGAAAACACAGATTACAGTCTGTTCTATAGAAGGCTAAATTTGCCCTTTGTAAATTAAGGCTAAATTTTATAACCACAAGGAAATGAAAAACTTTTCAGGGTGTGGACTTAGGTACATTTTGTTCTTGGGAGTTCATTGCAAACGTGTCACTCAGTGTATAACACTATATAGATTGAGACAAAAGAAACTACGTAAAAGGAGTTTTGTTAATGATACTTCTCTATAAAACAATTTACATTTTCATGTTTTGTATTACCCGTTTTGCTCACTTGTCTAAATACTCCCTATTTTCAATGTTTAGGCAAAATGAAAAAAAAAAGTTCTGAGCCAGAAACCTAATACTCACTTTCCTTGCACCCATGCCCATGGTTAGTACACAGTCTCTCTAGTGGATCAAACTTGAATGCTGGCCTCAAGCAGGATAGAAGCAAGCTACTGAGAGACTCTGACTTTTGCAAGTTTGTATGGTTGTCAATCTGTGTGGCTACAAAAATGTGTCAGAGGATGTACATTTGTGATGCTAACATAATGATCATGAATTCTTGTTCTGTGTATAATTTGTTTTGGCATAATATCAAGCAGCTCCATCTGAATTATCAGCCTTTGCAGTTATTTCTAAGGACCAGTCTACACAAGGCAAGATTATGACATCTTTTAACTAGATCCTAAACAGTATTTTGAAAATACTGATTTGTAAAGTGAATCTTTTTCCAAATGAAGCATTCATCATGTTGTAAAAGCCTAAATATTTAGAATAAAAATCCCTTACTATTAGAAAGGTGAATATACATTACAGTGAATAAGAAAAAATGTCTAGGCAAAATGGGATGCAGTGCTCCATACAAAATAGTTGGAAGTACACAGAAAAAAATCAAATGGGAAGATTTATGAGTACCCCAAAAGAAGTAGATGGGGGTCTCAAAGATAGTACATAACCATTTTAGTGAAACAAATTTTATTGAATTTGTATGGACTTCCCCACAGTATTGGGCTGTAATAACAAAATGTATAATGTTACATTTATTGGCATGTTTATTCTATAAAGAGCTTCACTGAAAAAGAGAGCATCAAATAATTATGCAATTAAGACAATTGGAACCTGAACTTTTAAAAAAATCATATAAACACAGCGGTACATCCATACGTCCGAAAAATAAATCCTATACACAGAACAACAAAAAGAGGATTCTTAAAGAAAAAAATATCAAAATCCATCTAACTAGAGACACTATGGGATTTTGGAAACCTGAAAAAAAGGGCAGGCCTGGTACCATGTGTCAGACATGATTGCATCTTCCTGCTTCTTCCCAACATTATGATTAGGATAAACCCAATAAATCACTTTAAAAAGCTAACATTGATGACTCTGCCTATAGAATGGATAGAAAGTTTTATGAAGAGAATTTAATATTGTTTAATTGTCTAAGGTTGAGTATTTTCCTTTTCTAGGGTTTACATAATAATAAACAAAACCCCCATATTTATGTATTATGTATAGTAGTTGTAAAGCACCTGAATGAGAGCTATAACAATTTTTCTAATCAATACTTAAAATTTAGAAAAGACTTTGTTAATTCTGGTAATCATTACAATATGAAGCATATATTAGGATTGATAGATCTTCTATAAAAAGCCTACGGTGACTCCTAAATATTCCTTTCGTAAGCATCTTCTATAATCTCTGATAGATACGGATGTTGGTACTGTTTGCAGGTGATGGGTGCTAATTACCTTTCCAGTATAGACAGTCACATCTTTTGTAATATTTCTCATGGAGACTGTGTTTAAAATATACTTTACCCCGAAACAGTCTTAGCCTGTGAATGTTATTACAAGGGGTCCTTTTATCTTGCTGGTGGAAGACATAGAATACTTCTAAGTCAGTGAGCATGAGAGGCTCCGATGTGAAAGACACCAAGGTTCACACTGACACTGAAATCAGATTCTGGACCTGTTAGTTACTTGTATGCAAGGAGTTGTTTTTTCCACTAGTAATAAAGAACTTATGCTAATGTATCCTCTAATCAAGGTCTCATATACTTGACTAATGGGGTGAATATTTTATTCTATTTGTATCTTCAAAAGGGGGAGCTAGTCTTCTGCACTAGCTGACTTAAACTGCATTAAATAAAGAGCTTAGTGCTTTTCACCTGCAATCTTTTCTTTTTACTTTTATAAATTAGAGCCAGAACTTTGATTTAAATAACTGAGTTATAGTCTTTCCTTAAATAAGTTAGGGTTTCCTGACCAGTGAACACGGTAGTTAGAAACAGAAGCTTGGCATCTATATAACAAACTTGATAGCTAGTAAACAGATTCAGCCCTTTTTTTTGGGTGGGGGTGGGTCTCATGTAACCCGCATTAGCTCTGAGTTTGCTGTGTATTTTAATGGCTTTAAATTCCTGACCCTCCTGTCTCTACATCCTAAGTATATATGTATGTGTCACTATGCTTGACTGAGAATATTTTTTATGATGCCCTAGAGAGTTACCAGAAGGTTTCCGAATTATTTTCTTTTTCTTTAAAGTTGATACCCATAAATAGAGTTTTGGAATTAATGTACATACCAACCAAATAAATGGATGCTTCTGGCAAATTGGTTTCTAGAAAAAGCTGAGCAAAGGTGACAAATGCTTTATGAAACTTCTGGGTGGGAAAGTGTTTTTCAGGCTTCTCCTTTAAATCCGCCAGTGAAAGGAAAGATATAAAAGTATTTGTGTTAATGCTGGTGGCCATGTGTTTGTGTGTGTGTGTGTGTGTGTGTGTGTGTGTGTGTGTGTTTGGTTATTCAACCAGGGCTTTGTTACCACCCTACTTGAAACATTTATAGTTCCTTAATGCAGACTTAGGGGGCAATCACTGGGGACTAGCAAGATGATGCATGAAAGCAAGGAGAAGAAACAGGGAAGAAAAGAAAGCAAAGAAATGAAAATTATGACCTTTAAAAAGCAAATGGGGAGTTGAGAGCAAAAGTATTTGTTCTAGTGATGTTTGGCCTGGTTCATAAATTAGGGAGCCCTAACTTTCTATGCAGTATGACCATTCCTTTTTTTCCAAGGGAACCAGATTCAAATAACAAGTTGAAAAGGTCTAACTGTGCATACGGGCTAAGAATTTCCATAAACATACTTACTTTTCTCGCCTATGTTTTCTCCTGCTGCCTCCCCTTCTTCCTCTTCCTCCTCTTCTTCCACCTCTGGTGGCTGGATGTCATCTTGTGGGTCACAGGCACTAACCGGTGCATTCAGACAGCAGTGGTTGAACCCGCTGTCTCGAGGCAGAGTAAAACTTCGGGGCTTGCCCCCATTGCCGTTTAACACCTGCATCCTCTCACTCTCCGCTAATGGGTATGGGCCATAGTGATCCTGGAGATGGCACTTCTGAGTGGGAAGAGTAGACTGTCGCCTGTGCTCAGGGGAGATGGCCGCCGAGTCAGAGAAGACAGAATCTTCCAGAGGCAGAGTCTGAAGGTAATGTAAGCCTGAACTTGTCAGCGGTGTCTCGATTAAATCCTGCCAGGAGCGGCGCTGACTGGCTGTCTTGCGAATGGGGGACATGGCACTGCTCCCAGTAACTTCCTGGCGGAACTCCTCATGTGAAGAATGAGAGGTCTCAGTGGAGGAGAGCCGGCTGTGCTTTGTTTCCACATAAGGACTGGCGCAACTCATCTGTGGAAAGGAGCCCCTCATCAGTTTCCACAGAAATGGCAGACTATTTCGATTGTCAAAGAACTTATTTTCTTTTTACCATAGAGTATTTACATGGATTACATGGATTCTTACACAGTCAAGTAACAACTGAGCACATTTGTAGACACTTCAGTTTAGGACCCAGTTTATACTTTAATAGTTAGGAATTCAGATGTCCTGAGATACAGATGTAACAGCTGTCCATGAAACATCTGATACAATAGTACAAATCTGATAATAATGGAAGGATGAGTAATTGTAAATGTTTATATAAGAAACACTCAGCAACTAAACAATTTTAAATTCTCTACATAATTCGAAATTCTAAAAAAAATGCCCATAGATTCCTATTTCTGGATTTTAGGCAGCTTAGGGGGTAAGAGAAAGAGAGAGAGGCCTTTATATATGAGAACAAGTTGTCTATAAACAAAGCAAACCTTTCTGCTTCTTCACAAGTAAATGTCTGTTTCTATGGGTACCACAGAAAAGCTGTCTTATGGTCTTGTATATTCTATGGTAATTTCTGGAGACTACAGGCAGGATGAAGTTATAGTTTGTTGGGGACTGGCATTTTCTGTGAGTATAGACACTATAGACTACATAAAAAGGAATTTATTCTGTGCATAAATGTGAAATGTGACAATATATATTATAGTATAAAAGACAAACAAGAAAGATGAATAGCATCAATAAAATGCTATAAAACATTTCAAGTGAAACACTCTACCTGGGAAAAGCCTTATTCCAGCTACAGAGGCTAGCAGGCTAGCCCAGGTGCCTTTCTGCAAGGAGCTACACTTGTTAATTACAAATGGTGTTGAAGCGGCAGCCAGGACAAATTTAGCTGCTATGAACATACCGCCCCTTTCGGAAAAGGGACAGAAATTACTTAGCATCATCCATGGGCAGATTGTTACCTTTCAACATATCGAGTAGTATGTTGAACAACAAATTAACTACAATAATATGAATGGTTTCTTTCCAAGACGCTATTGTTGCTCAAAGGGAAAAAGATGCATTTATCAGAAGAGGAGTAGAACAACGAGAGTACAGAGGGAATGCTGGGGACTGGAGATTTAAGTGGGGGATGGAGACAGTGGGGTCAGAGAGTGGGGGCAGGGGTAGGCTTAAACAAAACTAAGGATACATTTAAAAAACCATATGCAAATCTACTTCTTGGTAGATAATTAAAACAATAATTTCAAAAAAGCAAAGCTGTGGCCCCCTTTCATTTTTTATAAATTTCAAAGGAATCATTCAGATCCTGGGGTTTTTAAAGAAAGGGAAAATATTAATTACTTGGAATAATGCAAAGGTTAAATGAAGTTGACTGGTATAGTCACATAAACTAACTTCCTTTTCCTTTGTGGAAGACTAAGCCCCAAGATACAGACAGTTGATTATTTTGGTAACATGACCACAAAATTAAATGGAAACACTGACATATGCTCAGTAATTTTGATGGGAAACAGGCATAAATTGGCATAGTCTTAAGAAAAGTAGGGTAATTACCTCAGTAAAAGAATGAAATATATATATATATATATATATATTCTACACATAGAATGAGTTATAGACTTAAGAAAATTCCATAAGAATTCTGGAACACCATAAACATATATATTAAAGCAGATACCATGGCTATATCCAAAACCCAGGGATATGTGCATCTGTGCTGGTTATTTTTTTTTCAAACTTGACACAAGCTAGATTATCAGGAAGAAGGAATGCCAATTGATAAAATAACCCTATCAAACTGTTATGAAGGCAAGCTTGTGTGGCATTTTCTTGATTAATGATTGATGTTGGAGGGCCCAAGGCCCATGCCACTGTGGGTGCTATGACCCCTGGGCAGGTGGTCCTGGGTTGTATGAGAAAGCAGGCTGAGCAAGCCAGTAAATAGAGTTCCACCAGGGTCTCTGCTTGAGTTCCTACCTCTGGGTTTTGCTGTGCTTGTGTTCCTGCCTTGGCTTCCCTCAATGATGGATTATAATCAGTACTTATAAGCCAAATAAACTTTCCCAAGTTGCTTTAGGTTATGCTATTTTCCTACAACAATAGAAAGCAAACTAAGATAGCATTATGATATCTATTACTGAGCTGGACCTCCAGTACTATAGTGCTAATATTCATTAGTTGTTTCTAAAATACATAAATTGACTTTATTAGTATAGAATAAGTAAGATCAATTTACATCTTTTGGTAAGGAAACTTTTCTGTTCTTTTTTGCTCCCTTAAGCAAATTCATTCTGCCAACAACCTGTGATGATTATTTCCCTTGAATAAATATATTAACATATTTTCCTTCTGAGTTTAGATCATCAATGTTCTTTTCCCTATGAAATCTCATCTGACTTGGAATTTAATATACTTTCTTTTAAACATATAAATGGATCATTAAGTTCAAGTTGCCCTGCCATGTAGTAAGCACCCGCACATGTAACTTACAGAGGGAGGCCGTGGGTATGTATCATAGGGGGGCGGAGGGCTGTCTTGCTTCGGTGTTGATGGAGTATCTGCTTCTTCTTTGTCACTCTCACTCCAGTAGTCTGAAAGTTTACAGACATGAACACCCCGAGGATTTAGTAAGTATTTACAGACATATTCTCAAGAAAAGATAATATCTCTTAACCAAAACAAGACTTAAGTTCAATTCCTATGGCATGTTTACCATCATCACCCTGCTCAAGAGTCCAGCTTCATTTTTAGCTGTTTTGGAGAAGAAGAACACAATAACCTAATCCCAACCCCATGAAAAATTAATGACACACAGCCAGTCTTAAGACAGCTAAGGGAAAGATACTCTATAAGCCACAACAGGTGGAGGGAATGTTTAATTTTAGAACATTTTTTTTCAGAAGCTTTACTTAATAAATACCACAGGATGTTTTTAAAGTATGTCACATTACCGTGATGAATGCTCAGAGAAGAGATGCAATAAACCGTATGCTGCTGCTGTATATCTCTGATATAAACATCTCCAAATTAATGTTCGAAATTGCTTTGGCTTCCCTTCACTGGTTATCTAACAATTGCTGTTTTCTAGTGTCATGGTGACATGAATCTTTATAGTATCATACTCCCACCTCTCCTTGGAAAGGCATGGCAAACCCTAAATCTGGCCAAGTGCAAAAAAAATTTGAATACTTGCTGATGGGTGCTCCAAGCCCCAAATTTCAGAACTACTTAAAAAGATAACAACTATAAGCTGATAGACGAAGTTACTTGGCAGAACTGAGACAAGAGGGAAGTTCAACTCTGAGAGATATATTAATATTGTAAGTCAAATCCAGCACCAGATTCATATCAGAATCAGTTCGACTATATCGTGGTCCTAACTCCTGCGCTGATTCCTTCTGTGAGTTACAAGCAAAGAGAAGCAGGATAATTTCTACAGCAATTGTAGGAGAGAGAACAGGGATTAAGAGAAAAGGAAATCTGTATGAAAACTTATATCCTAAAACAACTACCACAAGACTTATGTGGTGTTCAGATTCAAGGGAAAAATCCCTACACATAATTTAGTATGAGCCCTTCCCTTTCTAGAAACTTTCAGTTGTAATGTTTTTCCCATGCTACTGACTAAAAATGAATGCAACTAGATTTTTTTTTCAGAAATTGTTCCATTCCTGGTAGGGAATAATGGAGCTGGATTTGAACTAAGAAACTGACTTGAGCCAAAGCTCTGAGAATTACATTTCCGGGACTCTTGCTTGACACATCAGTTTAACACAACAGTTTAATGTTAGGTATAGTTATGCAATTTAATCTCCTTTACCCACTCCTGACTTTTCACTTCTGTTACTGTCAATAGAAAGTCTCTAGCAATAGATATAGGACATAAAATAAACTGCCCCTTCTATTCAGGCCTTAAAACACAAGGACCCTGACAACGCCCACTGAGAAAAATATACAAAGTCTCCAATCTCAATTAGATACCTTTTTTTTTTTTTTTTGGTTTTGGGAAACTGGTCATGGAAGCACACAACTGTAACTCAGAGCTCAGGAGGCTGACCTAGGATTTTCAGGTTGAGATCAGCTTGGGTTACACAGCTAAACCCTATCTCAAAAGCTCAATGGAAAATAATGGAGACACTGGACAATGACCACCAATATAACTAAGTCCTCCCTCAAAGATGAATTGGCATAGATACCCAGAAACATTTATTAAATGATTGTGAAAAAAAGCATGTCTGATATTCAGAAGCAGGCAAAGGTTCAATTCGTCACCATACAACTACTTTATGCATTGACCCTCTTATAGGCATTATTTAACTTTATTGTTGGGCCTATTTTCTAATCTGAGAAAGAACAGCTAATAATAACTGACTTTTGTAGTTGTGTATGTGGTAGTACTAAATAAAGTAACATATAATCAACTGCTTTGTACTTTGAATCCACTCCAGAGATATTAGCAGCATTTATCTTGTGGGGTATATTTGCAGATTTTATTCCAGGGCAGTCTGACACAGATCACAAAGGCAGTAAATGGCTGATGATGTTCATTTTTTCACAGATAGTCTTTATTTCTTTGTGGTATTTTTGAGCAATGAAGAATGAAATCTGGAGTCCTAGGGTCTGCGCAGTTTTGTGAGAGCCTGGAATCTTCCTGGAAGTTAACACTAGCATTCACCCTCCTCCCAGCCCCAGCACACAAAGCTTGCTAAGCTCACTCTACTCTTATACTTCCCACTGTTTCCAAGAATGCTGGGTGAGTTTATCCTTAATGTTTGCATTAAGGATACCATGACATTTTGGTGAAATAATACCGCAAGTGGTCCTTATTAGCACACTAGAAAAGAGATGATTAGCATTTTATCCATAGCTCTAGAGCCATTGCCATACATAAGAAATCTGAAGTGTTTATTTTTCCTACTCAGCTAAATTAGGAAAAACTCTAATCCCTATTTGATGCAATTTTTGGCTTATTAAAAAGCAATAACAATCTAAACATTTGCTGGGGTTCTAAAGAAAAAGCAGAAATATTACTTTACATATCAACTTCTTATGCTAAGCTGTAAGGGAGAGAACAATGCCAGAAAAAAGGCAACATTGAAAATTAGGCTCTTTAGGAACATGTGAAATAATACATACACTATAGCTTACTGGCTGAAACCAGCCTGATTTTTTTTCTAAGAGCAAATAGAATTTTTTCTCTTAAAAAATCTAAATATATATTTTGATTTGTCATGTGAAATATCAAAATTTATAAGTAATTATGAATAAACACGGCCATCAGTAGAAGAGGGAAGGTCCCTTTTTACCATTATATGTTGACACAAAGGACATATTTTTAAAGCTTGTTCTTATTTAGAACTATCAAAGAAGTATCATATAGGTCATTAATTTTTTAATATTAATTACAACACTGCTTGACCTATTAGCTGAGGCTTCTTATTAACTAACTCTTGCATCTTAAATTAACCCATTTCTTTTCATCTGTGTATCACCACAATGCTGTGGATTACTGGTAAGATTCTGGTGTGTCCATCTCCTTTGGCAGCTACCTGGTGTCTCTCTGACTCCGCCTATTCTCTCTTTCTATATATATATCTCTTCCATCCTGGCTATATTTTGCCTTGCCGTAGGCCAAAGCAGTTTCTTTATTAACCAATTGAATTCATAGCATAAAGAGGGGAATCCCACTTTATCTCCCCTTTTCTGTCTAAATAAAAAGGAAGGTTTTAACTTTAACATAGTAAAATTACATATACAAAATAGTTCTCAAGCCAGAATTATTGTTACAATATTTAGTCCATTTACATTTGGCAAATTAAGGAAAATACTCTATCATCTATCCTATCTTTGTGAGTCTAAAGTTTTATATCTAATTTATCCTTTACCATTCTAAGGAATTCAATAACTATAACTATAACTATAACTGTGTGTCTTCAACTCTTCAAAAACCCCAGAAGGAGATAATATTACCTAAGCTAACAGGAAGTACATTGTAAGCAACTTCCAAAACTCTAGAATTGACAGAGACATCTTGCTGATAGGTCATTAATTTTTATGTGATTAAAACTTTACAATGATATCAAGAAATTATTTCTACTGTAAAATATTAAAATTCCCCTTTCTAGATTTCTGAAATATATACTGCATTATCATTACCTATATGCATCTTAGTGTCAAGCAGAACCTTTCCACTTTCCTCTTACACAACAGTATAACAGTACTTGTTCATTACTTTGTCCACTACCTACGTAGTTCTTCATAGCCTTTGGATACCAGCATTTTCTTTTTAAAACCTTACAGAGTTATATTGTGTTTGCAATTTAACTTCAGCATTAAGAATTACTTAGGAGATATCAAATAACCATAGAAGTGTGGAGTTGATATGCATTCTTATCAGTTTCCTAAGTAGAAGGCCAAGAGACTTAACTATATATTAAATAGGAAGTCTAGTATGTTTCTGATGTATGTTAAGGTACCTTTTTACTCTGTGGAAATAGCAAGTATTATCGTTGGTCTGATTTTTCTACCAAACTTTATTTAGTAGGCATTAAAATATATACTTATACAATAGGGCAAGGCAGCATGTACCACAAAATACTCATTGGAACTTGCACATGCAATATAAATTAACCTGTCCTCTCCTCCACAATAAAACTTGCTTCCATAATAAAGGCAATTGATTACAATCCAGCTTATTCTCAACTTGAAAGCAACATCAGGTAATAAAATTCTGAAATTTGATAATAAAAGTTCTGCGATATATACAATTTGATATTTTTCTAGGTTAATTTTACTATCTACATATTACCCATATTTACAACTCTATTATCTTTAAACAATCAGCCAAAACACCTTTGAAGAGCTATTTCACACCTTTTCAAGAAATCTGAAAAGGAAGGCTAGTATTTTTTTTCAGTACTCTTACCACAAAGGAAAGTCTAAAAATTACACTGAGCCATAAAGTGAAGAATTTTACGCCACCAGACACCTTTACTACAGTAGAGTGTTGGATGAAGTTTGCCTGCACGTACTGACTTGAAGAAGATGGCCTCTCCAGTATTTGTAGAATTATGCAATCTGCTTCCATACTGTGGAATATTATAGTGATTGGTCCACACCATTTCCTCATTACAAAAGTTACTTCAGAAAACAGAGCCAACCAAAAGTCGTTCCCCCACTCCCTTCCTGGAAGGACTCTGCTTACCCTTGTTTCCTGGAACTTGATATGTATGTTATTAGGTTTCATTTTCTATATTGCACCAAGCTTATCTTTTTTAACAGAACCCATTGAGGGTCTTTGCAGAAATACATTAATATTTAATAAAATACTGCATCTTTCCCTTATCAATGCTATATCAAGAGTCACTGATGATTTTCTTTAGAAAAATTATTTCCTCATTAGCTCTGCCTTTTTATGTAAGAAAAAAGTGTAACAGGATTATAAAATAAAAGGTATTCCTTTACCTTGTTCTTGCTTAATCCTCTCCCTTTCTGCATATCCTGCAGTCATCATGTTAATTCTATTAAGCCATCTAGAAAAAGAAAGAAATCAATGATAATTCATTATATTTGTTAGAAATATTTATTGCAAAATGTCTAAGTATAGGATAACCCTACATATAAAATACGTTCTTTATTAAACTTGAAAAAAAATTGAAGCCTTCAATAGGCAATAATCTACTGTAGTGCAAATTGTTCCCACACTGATACAATTCCAATGAAACAGTTATGTAAAGCTGTTAATGTGTGGAATATAAAAGATTTTGAGATGACCAAAGCCATATCATTTCTTTTCCTTCAAATATATAAGCACTACAAAAATGCCCACTCTTTTGTTTTTTTTTTTCAGAACAAATACTCTTTTGAAGACACTTTTTAAGAGTCAGTCTAATTTATAGAGATAGGAGAAAATGTTACAAAGCTTGCCTGTAAAAATAATAGCTTTACCATGAAATAATAGTTTGAATATACTCAATTAAGTTAAATGACCCAAAGGGAATTACATCTCAGAAGTACTTTTGAATCTTGTTCCTAAATACGAGAGCATTTAGCTCCCCAGAAATAAAAAGTACATATATAATTTTAACCTATTATGATCTAGAAAACATACTTTCATGAACGACAGCAAGCTAATATTTCTTAAGTATTGCTGCTATTGTTAGTGAAGTCAAATATTATTTCAATTTCTATTTAACTCTACCAGGAATCTTCCTGTAGGCATCATTTCAACCACTGGATTATCAAGTCACAAATATTTGTAAACAAACTGACAATCTCCCACCTGGAAATTCTGAGCATGGGCCAAATGTTTTCCCAGAACTGAAATCAGGGAGAATTTACCTTAACCAATTTTGGAATTATTGTTAGAGTTTTAGTATCATCAAATTGTGGAACAGTCTGATTCAGATGTAGATGAAAGAAAACCTGTTGTTGAGATTTTTTTTTCTCCTAAGATCCTGGATGTCTTTCAGCTACACATTATTAACTGAGTCACATATTTCACAACTTTTCCAAATGGTGCTGTATGTATCATATACCTAGCATATCCGGAGGAGAGGAAAGTTGTATCTCTCATGGGTATCTATTCAAATATAAATTGTAATTTTAAGAAAAAGTAACTTAAATACAAACTTCAGTTTAGTAAAACATATCATGTAAATATCAGTCTAAAGAATATATGGGAATTAAAGAACAATTGGAGTCCTATTAGTATACAACAAAATATTCACAGGAATTCAATAACATACATATTATATACATAGTCTAGTAAATTATAAATCAAGAAGTTAACCTCATGATAAAAACTTTGAAAATGAAGAATTATTAGCAAAAGTTCAGAATAAAATTTAATATATAGTTCATTTTTTTTTAGTAAGAAAAGGGTTGAATTATTACAGGGCAAATTTGACTACTCTCGGGAAAGAGTAGATTGATGTTGTTAGGGTCACAAGGATGACAATAACACTAAAGAAAACTGATCACTGACATTTAATCTACTATTATGTTTGTATTTCTTGAAAAACATTGATGTTTTAATCAGAATTCTAATGAAAATGGAAGTTCTTGGTAGGTGAATTGAGGTATTTAAGAGAGGCTTCTTCAGTTTTTCAATTTATCATTTATTAAATATATATTTGTTTTTAACAATAGCCTGTGTTTTAGAGACAAAGAAATGTATAAGGCATAGTTCTTGCTTTCACTGAACTCTAGATTGCTAAGATTCCTAAGGCAACTGAAAATTTAAGCTACTTTTAGAAAAAAAAATTCTGATCATGATAAAACTTCTTTGGAACATGTATGGATATTCTTAGGCTGCTGTGTATAGCTTAGACAGACAGCTGTTGCTGTCTCTTGCATATACGTGTCCTTAAGCTCCAGCTGGAAGAACCTCACTTACTGATATACTTGGTATAATTTTGACTTGCTATCTTAGGTAGACATGAAAGCAGATGTACATATGTTAACTGATTCCAGAAGTATTTATTGAGAGACTGTATGTGCCAGGGATGGTTCTAGGCACCTAGAATCAAGAGTATACAAAACAAAGTAGCCATCTTCATGATGCCTGCATTTCAACAATGGCGGCAGATAACAAATCGGGATATAAGTAAGCGTCTATGAAGTTTTACCAAGGTAGCAAATGCCATCTTTTAAAGCAGCATGGAAGGTAAAATTTGGAAGGTCAAAGTTGCTTGGGAGTAGGGAATCTATGTTAGGTAAGGAGGGCAGGGATACACATATTCAACATCATCTTTTTCGAGAATGCTGATGTGGAAGTTCTTTAATACTAGTCCTAATTTCAGTATTTCATCATATACTCCTTTTTTTTCCTGGCTTTTGAAGACAGGGTTCCTCTGTAGCTTTGACATGTGTCCTGGAGTAGCTCTTGTAGACCAGGATTGCCTTGAACTCACAGAGATTTACCTGCCTCTGCCTCTCGAGTGCTGGGATTAAAGGTGTGCTCCAACACTGCCTGGCTTACCTCATCATATTCTAATGCTTTAGAACATGAATATATAGGCTAGGGAATATGATTAGAGTAACACAGCCTAATACACTAAGAGACAAGTAACTCACAGTTACAAGGATACATGCACACACATGCATACATGCACACTTAGAAAAGTGCACACATTTGTGTATAGAGATTTCATGGAAAACTGAATTTAATGAGTACTTTTATACCCTAATTACTAGGCACTGTTACTACTGGCATAGTATATATTTCAAAATCTAGAGAACAAACATATATTATTCTGTACTATGATAAAAATTTATATAAAACAGTAATACCTTTAAAGCCATGAAATAATCAGATAAGCATGTATTGACTATAATTATGCTTATTTTTTAAAAAATATCCCCTCTGGAATCAGGCATGTTTTCAAAGATTACATATGGAATAAATCAATATCCACATTATCTTGCTATGTATAATAATCAGGTAAGCAGACAAAGCTGTATATGGGTGTCTTTCCATATCACTAATATTGTGTGAATGTTTTTAGCACTGACTATTTTATCCTATTAACAAGTTTTTAAAATTGCCTATTGAAAATACATACTAAGAATAAAATTATTAGAGAAAGAAAAACAAAGGAAAAGAATAAAGGTAGATTACAATTAAATTTAAAAATTCAATTTTTACATCGATAATTCTAAAATATATAGTACATTAAGTCTTACATAAAACAAGACTTTTAAAAGTATAATGTGGTGCTGACATTTTGGATGAGATGTTTCTTTTCTTTGACACCTTAAAATAATAAAATGAATGACATGGGTTTGGTTTAGTTTTTTCTTTTTCTTTTCTGTTGTTTAGACTTATAGAAGTATCAGGGAAGAGTAGTAATACATCCTTTTTAGTATACTGTGAACAAGTAGCAAATATAGGTCAAGAAAGGTTTTTACAGTTGATAAAATGCACCAACAATGCGAGCTAAAATGGTTCTAAATTAGCATATATCAAGAATGGTTAAATTATTTGAATTCTTACAGGGGGGCAACTGACACCTAATACATTGATCCTATAATACAAGAGATCCTCATTTGTGTTACTTACTCTTATTTTGGTTATAATGCAAACCCTTCATGTGTATCCCTAGGGAACTGACTTTATCATTTCGTTAAACAGATAGCATGGACACAGAAGTATAGAATTGCAGGATAATTATAGCACCAAAAGTAGAGAGCCACGAGTCCTCCATCATGTACAGGTGAATAAACATTTTCACTTCTAGAACAAGGAGAAAAATCTCTGAAAATTCTTTGTGCTGGTATGAAATTTTAAGAGTAGTAAATTAGGGGGCTGGAGAGATGACTCAGTGGTAAGAGGACTGGATGCTCTTCCAAAAGTCCTGAGTTCAATTCCCAGCAACCACATGGTGGCTCACAACCATCTGTAAAGAGACATGGTGTCGTCTTCTGGCCTTCAGGTGTACATGCAGACAGAACACTACACTAAATCCATCCATCCATCCATACATACATAACATAATAAATTATACAAACCACAATAAAAATTTAATTTCATGCACTTTTGCTTTTTAGAAACCATGGCTGTACTTCAGGTGTCAAAAATTTTATTTATAAAAGTAGCTTAAGCATTCATCTGCTCTGCTTAAGTATATTTATGAAGTAGTACAGTTTTTATGCTTAAAATATTTAGATATAATTTTTAGAGATCTAAATAAAAGTAAATGAGTTAAGAGAACAAAAGTATACAGACATTAATACTTATTGCTACTGAAGACTAATATAGTATTTAAAAGTTAAAAAATCCTTACTGAGAGGGATAATTTTTCTTAGTCTATAAAAGGGTCAATTATCAGAGACAGAGACCCACATTGGAGCACCGGACATAAACCTCAAGGTCCAAATCAGGAGCAGAAGGAAAGAGAGCACGAGCAAGGAACTCAGGACCGCGAGGGGTGCACCCACACACCGGGATGTTCTACTGGGAACTCACCAAGGCCAGCTGGCCTGGGTCTGGAAAAGCCTGGGATAAAACCGGACTCTCTGAACATAGCGGACAATGAGGACTACTGAGAACTCAAGAACAATGGCAATGGGTTTCTGATCCTACTGCACGCACTGGCTTTGTGGGAGCCTAGGCAGTTTGGATGCTCAACTTACTAGACCTGGATGGAGGTGGGGGTTCCTTGGACTTCCCACAGGACAGGGAACTCTGATTGCTTTTCGGGCTGAGCGGGGGGGGGGGGGGGACTTAATTGAGGGAGGAGGAGGGAAATGGGAGGCGGTGGCGGGGAAGAGACAGAAATCCTTAATAAATAAATAAATTTAAAATAAATAAATAAATAAAAGCGTCAATTATTTAGTACAGAAAGGCTAAGTTTATTGCATAAATTTGCATAGTTAATAAATTGTAATGGGGGATTCAGTCTTGTCTAAAGGGTCACAGTTTTGGTCACTACACTTTGGTGCCTCTTCCTAAGGGAAATTACATGCAATATGCATTAGTTTCCGCAACTGTAAAAGGGAGGACCTTTTGATTTTTAAACTCATTTTGTATCGTTTCATTAAATGGAGAGGGGAAATTAAAGAAAACAAAAGCAACCTTAAAGTGACTAAAATTGTAATGTGAAACAATGGGGCACATGTAGAGGGAAATGTATGCAGGCTTTTCTTTAGCCACCGTGGAAACCCAGCAGAGCCAAACCAGTTGGTTTCATAGTCCTGTCCAGTGCTACATGAATGGGACAGGAAGAATTACTACACTAGCTACATCTAAATCATTGAAATGGATATTCCACCAAATATATTTAGCACCTGAATAAGTCAGGTTTTGTGTGCCTTTTCTGAGCATCTAGAAATACATGTTAAGATATATTCCTAAAATTTAACATCTAAAAACCTGGTTTTTACGGTACTATTTTGGATTTATATTACTTACAGTACTTTTGTGGTAAAATTGACAGCCAACAAAAGTTGAATTTTTAAAATGATATTCTTTATTATTTTGAAAATAGAAATTGTATTGTATGTGAAATTTAAATCACGAATTAGGCAAATATTTTTTAAAATTAAGTATGATCATGTATAACTATAGCTGAACTACTCAATTTTAATTAACCAATACAGAATCTACAATGAAATTCTTTAAAGAATATTAAAGACAAGGCTTAGATTTTGAATTTGAGGCATAATTAAGTAATTGAGATGAAAATAATACCTTACCTGTTCATGTCATCAAGATGTTCAGCAGCAAAATAGAAGCTTTTGATTTTAGGATGGCAGGCTTTGAATGCACTGTGAATAAAACAATAAATATTTTCACTGACTTTTGGACAAATTGAAAAATGGTTTTAAGTACCTGTAACGGTGTAAATGAGTTCAGAGAGGTGAAAGAATGTAATCAAAATATATTATATAGTGGTGCATGCTTTTAATTCCAGCACTTGGAGGGGAGACACAGGTGGATCTCTGTCAGTGCGAGGCCAGCCTGGTCTACAAAGTGAGTTATAAGGACAGCCAGAGCTATATAGTGATACCTTGTCTATCATCATCACTGGTGTTTTTATGTGTTTGCACATGCAAGAGAAAAAATTTTGAGAACTGTTTGGCTCAAACTAAATAATTTGTATGGATAAAATTAATGCAATGCCTAACCTAACTTCACATACATAATGCTTCTATCACGACAGAAATAAGTAAAATTGTATGCATGCTCTGCCCTCAAAATTGCTTTCTTATACTCTCAGTTTGAAATCATCAGATAAACAAACTATAACTTAAAATCTAGAAAATTACAAAATAAATTATCCTTTCCCCCCTCCTCTCTCCAAGTAAAATGAACTTACTATTTCTTGCGGCATTCACTGGCTCTATCAATTTTAAATTCAGGCAGACTGATGAATCCTTCTGCTTTTTCATCCTAAAGAAGCAACACTTTTGATTAGTGTATCATACCAAGGAAGTCTGAAGCTAATTATACCATGTAGGTGTGATGTAGATACTTAGAGTAATAAATGTGCTACTCATTTTGTTCTTAATTCTACTTACATTTCATAAATTCTACATATCCATAAATTAAAGGAAATTTTAATATTTTGAAAACTTAGAATGTTTAAAAACTAAAATATATACATTATTTTTATATTAATATGAGGATAGAAAATAATTTATAAAGTAAAATATGCTTTATAATTTTTTGAGGGGCTGAAAAATAAAAACAAATTGGGGCCTGAAGAAGTAGTTCAGTGGTAGAGTACTCATTTGTGCAGGATGTATTGAGCTCTGGGTTTGATCTTTAGAACATAAACCAAAAAAAGTAAAAGGAACCGTTTCAGACCAGATACACAAAACAGCTATACATTTTTAGTACAAAATTTTCCATCATTTAGAAAGGTGTGATTTATGTTCTGTGTATGAGAGTTTTATCAGAATTCATGTACAAGCAACATGTGCATGTCTGTTGCCTGACAGAGGTCAGAAGATGGCACCAAATCCCCGGAAACTGAAATTACAATAGGTTGTGAGCCACCATGTAGGTGCTAGAAACAAGTGCTGACTAAATCGCTCCGGCCCCCTTTTCGATCACTTGTAATATTTAGATATAAAATATGGAGTTGCTTACCAATTCAAATTTTCTTTCATAGCAATTTTTTAATCAAATTTGATTTTTTTTATATAACAATTTTTTAGGGTATTCAATAGTTTGGAAATTAAATAGGTCAACTTGATTTTCAAATATGCAGTTTTAGATATCTCTCTTACATAATACCATTTTTAATCTAAAAAATTAATAAAATTCATAAGTACTCCTCCCTTAAATAGTAGTTAATAAAACCAGGGTAGGTATATTATTCAAAGCCTTATATTAGTCTCGAGTTTAATCAAGTATGAAGTGATTCGGTGGCTAAATCTTGTCCCTTGCTCTGGCTGTAACAAAGCTTTGTAGATGTTTACCATTCCAAAATTGTACTGGAACTGCTACACCAGTCCACAACTCTTTCTGTATCAAACTGAAGTAAGATTACTCTCCCTTCCATTATTTTAATGAAAAAAAGCTACTCTCAGTTCCCTTTTCCCGTGTATATATGCATTTGCGTTATTTCTATTATTAATGAACTATGCAAAAGTTAAAAGTTTGAGCTGTAGATAGCAACTGAAATTTATGTTATGTACAGAAAGAGTATTAAATTTTTGTCTTTAAATATTTTTTCAATCTTGCGTTAAAGAAAATGCTTCCATTTGACTTCTAGCTTACGTTACTTTTGATGGCCTTAATTTAAAACTTGAAATATATTTGGAATATTATCTCTTCATAATGATGCAACATAAAATACTCTATTTCCCTAAAATAACAATAAGGTTTTCCTGGAATATGTACTACAAAAATATTCATTTATATTTTACATGAGTAACAGTAATAACAACTTGTCAATGATTAAAATATAGGCACTAATTAATAAAACACGCAAAAATTTCATCCTTTATAATTTGAAAGATAGACTATAATTTAGTATATGCAGAAAACAGATTGTCTTATAAATTAGTCTAGAAGTAAATCACAATAAAGAAAAACAGAGATACTGTATTTTGATGCTACTTGATATGCATCCAAATTTGGTATATCTAGCAAATAAAATGTATTCATATTTGCTTACTATAAACAAGACATACTTAGTGAGACAGATTTTTATTTCATTATATGACTGCCATAAATTATCAAAACAAGAAATAATATTTTCACATAAGAATATAGGAAATTATTATTTTAAGATTTTCCAAATAAGTCTTCATTGAATAACATTATTTGAACATTTAGCATTTTGTCAGACATGGTTCATTTATTTATCTCTAAGAAAGCTTAGTTTGATATGCATCATTATTTTCGTTTTTGCAGATGAAGAGATAAATACAATTGGTCAAGTAGTGTAATTCCTGAGTCTGCTCTTTCAGCATGATGTAAGACAGCAGCGTAATAGCTTGTTCAGGGAACATCAAATTCTCTAGATAGTGCACGTTACAAGCAAAGTTCTAATAATTATGGTAACTTTAAGGAATTACCCTTTAAATGCAAATTGTTTAATATCTTAGTATCCTATTTGTATAAAACTGCAAGTACCCTATATGTACACATATATTAATCTATATGTTTATAATACACCAAAGTAGTAGATAGGTACAGCAAACAAGTAATGTTGTGTCAAGCAGAAAAAAAAATCAACTAATAAAACACACTTTGACAATTCAGTGAGATACATGACTGATTGTTACATGATTAGTCTAGATACAAATATGTTATACCAAACAAACTAGAAAAGTTGTAAGAACAATTAAAACACATTAAACATGCCCCTTCCCTCAAGTTGTCCAATTGTAATGGATACTTAATTTCAATATTAGTCTACTAGTTCATTTTTTTTTCTTTAGGAGAAACTGAAATAAATTGAAACAATTACTGACTTCAGTTGCTAAGCAGTCCCCTCTTTCAAAGCAGAAAAAGAAAATCCCTATAAAACTTTGAGCAAGAGCTTTTAAAAATCTCTGTTTTTAGTTAAACTATAACATTAGTTGCTTGGTATCTTTAGAAACGGAGAATTTCTCCATATTTTAATTGTGCTTCAGATATGTTGCTACATTAGAAAAATGGAGCAACAGGTCATCCAGAATGCTGAAGATGGATCCCGAATTGGCTTGAGGGTGATACGATCTAAAATCATATGTCTCAAATTTTGACAATTATTGTTACAGATAATGAACCGATGAGAACACAAATGTGCTCTGTCTTACCTCTTCATTAATGTACCAGTACAGGGATGCATCCTTCAGGACAAACCAGTACTTCTTCCATTTCTGTGAAAAATAGCTCTTTGCATCTTTCTTTTTCCAAAGCCATCCCTCACAGTCACCACGGCCAAGATCCTTGCAAGAAATTCGTCTTTTGCTCTTGCCTGCTATGGCTCCTAAAGATAGTAAGTAGCAACACTCTTAATTTTGGAATGTGCATAAAGATAAGAGATTAATTCATAAACCCTAAAAGCAAGTAAGACACTATCAATCTTAAAATTATCATTTTCTAATTGTGTTATCACAGAAAATACAGGCATCTTTGATGCCTTTTCTTCCACATATGATGACAACATAATTGGAAATAGCAATTTTCATCTCAAGACTTGTTGGGATCACATGATATCAAAGGATCTGCATGGTAATTAATCCGAAACCATACTGGCTTCAAGGCAATGAGAGAATTAATGAAATATGCTGGTGATTATTATCGTAGTACAAAAGAAGTTCAAGTTTTGTTTTCTTTTATTACCTTTGTTCTTCTTCTTTGATTTGTGCTGCAGAGAGGACTGCTGAAATGTCTGAAATTAAAGATAGGGAAGATTATTATCTCACATGCAGAGTGTGAACCAGAGAACCATGGGCTACACAGAACTCTCACCAGCTGAATGATGACGCGAAACCCGGGTTAGAGAAGTGCTTCTCCCCATTAATATTTCAAAATAAATGCATACAATGACATTCCTTTCTCATCTTCCATGGACCAGGAGAAGACTTGTCAGGATCCTCGTTTTGTTGAGCAATTCCAGGGCACAACACATTGGTGAAAGAAAATGTTCTCACCACCGCACACATAGCTGTGCCCTTAGAGAAACTCCGTGTGGTTTCTAACACAACATCTCATCTGGTTCTTACATAATCAGACAAACCAGAAGGCAAATGTCTCTTTTATTTCTGTCTCCCTTAAGTCTCTAAATCTATAAGCACTTTGATCAATGGAATCAGCACTCCAGTTCCTCATATCTGCTTCTGACATAGGAACCTGCCCACTCCTCAACTACCAAACCCCACTACTATATGGCTGGTATTTTGAACATGTCCCAGCCACTGCCTCTAATATTTGTGGATTATAATGTCCAATACCACTGTCCTATCAATGAAACAGTATTGTGTCATCTAAATCATTGACCATACCATGCAATTATAACTGTATATCTTTCCTACCTACTTTCCCTGGGATATTATAATGGTTCATTTGCACTATTCCATGTATCTAGTTATAGCTAAACAACTCAATACTAAGTACATATTCAACAGTTTACTATGTCTGGAGGAAAAACAGAGCTGTACTGACTCACCTAACTTCCAATTAATGACTATAGGTTACTGATTCTAGTTAGATAACATATAAATTTTCACTGGTATAATAAGACGAATTATGATTAAGTAACTAAGAGAGAACAGAGACTGCCTGTGTATTAGGTCACAGGCATTTTTTCAAGTGAATGTTCTTGTAACAATTTTTTCTTTTTTTTACACAAGCAAATAAGGGTTAAATAGATTTTGATTATATAAAATTTTCCTGTTTTAGTTGAATAATAAATTCACATTAATATTTAATATATTACTTCCTAAAATAGTATATTTCTATAATTTTTTTGTTGTGTGCATGATTTATAAATATATTGATGGGTACCTGCTACAGTCAGCCAATCTCTTGATATACAGTGTAATCCAGAAATATAATTACCCAACACCCTAAATGTTTATGTTGTCTTGCATGTATATAAATACACATAAGTGTATTTATAGAAACACATATCAATATATAAATATATGCAAACATAGTAACCTTTGCATGAATCATGTTTATAGAAATTCACAGTTACTGAGAGAATACATAAAAGACAAAACTCATTATGGATATTGGTATTTCCGGCTAGTGTGTTTAATATATTCCCATCTATTTTTTGCATGAAATTACTCACTCAGTTTCTTCCTTTTGTGTCCCCTCATGTAATCTTAGCTTTCTAGCTCATTACTCTTAAACATGACAAATCTGAGACGATGTCTGTTTTTTTTCAGAAGCTATCAAGATTAATAACAGCTAATAAGAACTGGGTTATTTAATGTGTTATGCCTTTTATACTTCTTAGTTCAGTTTATTATGGTGCTAGACATCAATGCACGTTTGACATATGTCCTATTACTAAGCTATGTCTGAGGCCTCCTCCTATGCTTTCTGTATACCATTCCTTAAAGTTTCAAGGTCTTAAAAATTTACAGAAAAAATAGTTCATGTTCTCCAGGTTTTCTTTAACAAGATAATTTTGCCTTTCCATATAAACACGCAATATTTCCATAAAGATTATGATTTCAGAGTACTATATGGTTGAAAACTAAGAACTTCCAGGTATGTAATAAATGTAGCCACATTAAAAAAATCAGATGTTTTATGAATATAAATGAGGAACATCTTTGATATTTCCTTATTTTTCAAATGACATTGATATTCTATAAGATGAAAGGATTAATTGCTTTAAGGAAACCTTTTCTGGTTCATGCTAAAATAAAATATATCTCTTAGAGGCTCTTGTATAATAGACTAAGAATTAAATTCTATTTTTATGCTCAAAATTATAAAAATAAATTTGAATAACAGTTTGGCTGGGTATATCTTCAATTTAAAATAATGAACAATTTAAAAATAACTTTTATTAAAGGATTTCACTAGTTACCTCAGGCTGGCCTCAAACTCTACATCCTCCAGTCTCAGTAACTTGACTGCTGGGATTTCAGGTATGAGTCTCCATGCCTAGCTTCAGAGTGGCAATTTGAACATTTTATGTTTTTGGCATTTAATGTTGCCCTTACGACATCTCTATCTACTCTACTAAATTCTATGTTTAGTCTTCCATTAGCTTTTAAGATATTTTTCTCATTATCAATATTCTACACTTTTATTAAGTGTCCAAATTATAATTTATCCTAATCTCATTGAGTATTCATTAGGTTGCATTATTTCTTCTATTCTGCACACTTTCAGTTATTATTTATTTCAAACTTTGTCTTTACCAGCTCCTTTTTCTCTAGATGAATGTTGGCATTTGTCAAGTTATCACCTATTTTTATTTCATGTTTTTCCTTTCATCATTCTGCATTGTCCTTTAAGTAAATTAATTCTTTTCCATTTTATTTAATTCTCTCTGATTATATCCAATAAACTTTATCTTATCTATTATACTTATTTAACTGACAATATTTTTACATTTAAGGATATTTATATTATATGTAAGAATAGCCAGTTGGTACTGATTCTAGAACAGCAACCATTTTCGAGTTTTGTGTTTTGTTTTGAAATTGAAGTACTTTTGTAATTGTGCTATATTTTTATTTAGTGTGTAACATATCACCTGGTTGTTCAGTTCACTGCCTTTTCTTCAGTATCAACTTATTTTAGACACTTCAAAATTTTAGATCAAGTAGAAACTTCTTTCTTTTCTGCCCAAGACTTTTGCTGTATCCTGGTGCGGGAGAATTGTCTGTATTCTGTCAATCATGTTATAGATAAACGCTGATTGGCCAGACAGGAAATATAGGTGGGAAAAAAAAGACAGGAAGTAGAAATGACGTAATGAGAACAGGAGAATTCTGGGAAGGAGGAAGTTGATTCCTCCCACTCCTGCCCAGACCACAGAAGCAGCAGGATGTCATCTGCCCCACTGAAAACAGGTACTGAGCCACGTGGCTAACATAGATCAGAAAAATGGGTTAATCAAGATGTGAGAGTTAGCCAGTGAGAGGCTAGAGCTAATGGGCCAATCAGCTTTATAACTTATAGAGATCTATGTGTGATTTTCTTTGGGGCTAAACAGTTGTGGGGTAAAGGGCAGGACAGAAACCCAAACAAGCAGGCCTGGCCCTGTTCATGTTACAGTATTCTGCCTCTATTTCTTGGGTCCTTTCAGACACTAACCAGGACGTTTTGTGATGACAAGGCCTGATGTCTCACTAATGCAGCTCACGTTTGGGAGGCTTGCCCATGTTTCTGAGTAAAAGGTTGTTTTTATATCCTGTTGACACCAGGAATTATCTTTGGCCTTGGGTTTTATCTTTAGCAAAACATACTCACAGATATGGATCCACCTCTCTTTGACTTTCTAATTTCAACCATAGAGTTAATTATTAATTTCCCAACACTGCTAATCTCAATTTGGTTCCAGGTTCTCATTAAAGAACCTGTGGCCATCTCTCTTTCCTAGAGGATAGAGAGAAGTTTTCCCTTTCTGATATCTATTTCTACCCACTTACTTACCTACATACCTCTCCCTCTCTCTCTCTCTCTCTCTCTCTCTCTCTCTCTCTCTCTCTCTCTCCATCTCTCTCTATCTATGTATCTATCTATCTATCTTACTATGACCATCTGTCTGCTTGTTTTATTGCTATGTATTTAAGGCAGAATGAATCTGAAAGCATATGCAGGAGAGAGAAGTGTGTATGTGTGTATGTGTGTGTGTGTGTGTGAGAGAGAGAGATTAAAATATAAGCTTATAATGTTTATTGATCATCAAAAATTGATTCATTTTCAAAGCATCATGAAAGCCAGTTCTTTTCAAAGCTCTATCACAATCTATCTGAAGAACATATTGGTTAGCATTCAGGCATTATTCTGGCCTGTCAATGGCAGGATGCACTCACCAGTACTCAGGCAGTATACTGATCTGCTTAGAGTCCTGATAACTTCATCAGCTGTGTCCCTACAGTTAAGTCCCCTCATAAAAGGTGGCCCCATCCACCTCCTCTCTCTCTCTCTCTCTCTCTCTCTCTCTCTCTCTCTCTCTCTCTCTCTCTCTCTCTCTCTCCCTCTCTATCCCTCTCTTTTTTTCTTTCCCACTGCATCTGTCTCCAGATGCCAGTCTCGTCCCTTCCCTCCTCCCAATAAAATATCCACCATGTGAGCTCTGTCCCATGATGGCAATTCTCTCTCCTGCTGTATTTTAAATAACATTGGTGTTGTGATCTCAGCAGATTCTTCTGGTGCTTCCTCCTGCCCACCAGCAGTCCAAAGCATGCCAGAACCCTGGAATCTTGTCCACATACAACAGTCTCACTTCTGCAACTAATGGATCACTGGACCCCTTCATCCTACACCGGTACTGTTGGTGAGCCCTCCTTCTCTGATTATTTCCCATGAGTGAGAATTTGTCTCGTGATTGTGGTTTCTTGCCTCCATAACAAGCCCTGATATCAGGCAACCACTTGTCTCTTGGGGCTGAGCACTCCCACGGTCCCCGTACATTTGGGTGATGACCTGCTGGCCAGCTTATGCCTTCTCATCTCTCGGGCTCAGAGCCCTGACCCCTGGTCTGTGTTTGATGAATCACTGAGCAGCATGTGCCTTCTCAAATCCAATACTCTCTGAATTCCTGGGATGCTAGGAATTGCAGACCCTTGGATCTTATTTCTCTATCTCACTTGTGGGATCTGCGTTGTCCACTGTAAACTTTGTTCCATGCTCTCTCTCTGTTCTCTCTCCTTGCTCCTCTACTCAGCTATGAAACCTGTTAAGCCGCCTTTCCCC